TTCATCTATTGCGCCGGATCAGGGGCCAGATACGAACGTCCTGGAAGGTATAAGGACTCTTACGGCTGTTTTTGATCGACTTATTGATGGAGAAATATAGTTATTGAGAGTGCTGCATTTCTTTATTATGATTTGAGTGGTTGAAGGTTCAAGAATACTATTCCATTGCATATACGCAAATTGTATTCAATACTGGTGCACAAAGGACTAGTACGACGATTCCATCTTCAAGAGCACCTTACCGCTGGTCTTGCCTGTCTCTAACGCCTCAGCAGCCTGTCGGTAGTCCTCGAAGTCATAGATCTTGAATATAGTGATCTTCAAAGTTCCCGAAGAGATCATTTCAAACAGCTCTGAAGAATACTTTTCTAGTCGTTCAGGGGTCGAAACATATGCGTAAAGCTGGGGTCTGCAAAGATGGTTGTTCTTAGGCGCCAATCGATTGATTGTGAAAGGTGGGACAGGGCCAGTAGTGTTGCCATAGGAGACAAAAGATCCGAACTTAGCTAAGCTGTCCATGGTGATATCGACAGTGTCTTTTCCGACGGAATCGAAAGAGACGTCCACGCCGTATCCGTTGGTAATCTCCATGACGCGCTTCACAATATCCTCGGTCTTGTAGAAGATAATATGGTCTGCGCCGACGGCTTTCGCGATCTCGGCCTTTTCTGGCGTGGAGGTAGTACCGATCACAATGGCGCCCCTGGCCTTGCAGATCTGAGTAAGAAGAAGACCTACACCGCCTGCAACAGCATGGACAAGCACATACTGACCAGGAAGCACTTTATGCGCTTCCTCGGACAAGGTCAACGCTGTCATTCCCTGGAGATACCCAGCAAGTGCTATTTCTTCCTTGATGTTCTCAGGTAACTTGACAGAGCGAGAAGCAGGCGCTACAAAGTATTCTGCAAACATTCCAGAACCTATGCAGATGACTCTGTCGCCAGGGGCAAAGTTGGTCACTTTCGATCCAACAGCTTCCACTACGCCAGAACCCTCTACTCCAGCAATTGCAGGGAATGTCCAGGGATATATGCCCTTCCTGAAGTAAGAATCAATGTAGTTTAAACCTCCATAGGTAGCCTTTACGAGAATTTGATCGTCGGCGGGTGCAGGTTTAGGGGCTTCGCCAAGCTTAATGGTATTATAGTCTCCATGTTCATTGAATACGTAGGCTTTCATAGTGGCAAGAAAAGCAAATCAAAGAAGGTGATATCGAAGGCAGCAATTCGAAAGGAATAAATCGAAAAGAAGAAGTTCGAAAGAGGTGTAGTCTGAGTATTATTAGTAATCATTGCGGAATATTCCACTCCCCCACTTCTGAGCCGTAGTTTCCGTTTAGGGATGTCAATAAGGTTTTTTTGTTCCAGAGTGATTTTCGGAACAGAATCTTCGTATTTCAGGCACTTTGATGTTCAATTGCCTCGTCACTAGTTCATATTGATACTATGACAGTTCTTATACAATAGCAATACACGTAGGCGACGGATTAAGATGTTTGTGTGGACAAGCAGGCACGTCTAATGGCTGTATAGTGCGCGGATGCGTGTCCCAAGAGACCCTCTCAGACTTGAGTAACCCCCACCAGTTCACACACTCTTACCATTCGACTCATGTCGGGAATCACCGAAGTGCTCGATCTCGACTCGCCGGTCATTGAGAGCAGCAGCAGGTCAAATGAAGTTGGACAGAAAATTAAGATCACCCAGTTCGAGTGCGGAAGAGACTTCCAAGGAGACATTCGGTGTCTGCCGGTAGATCGAGTGTACCTATGTGCTAAAGATGGTCAAGGCCCATTTGTAGAAGTTCCGGGTCCGAATGCTCAGGCCAGCCGCTGGGTAATGGCAGATCCAATCGACGGTGAGATCGCATGAGCAGTTCGAGGTAGTTGGGTTCATTTTCGGCCGTAATTAGGCCGTGGTGAATAAGGAAAGATATGATGACAAGCGCGGCGTTCGGTTTGAACTCTTTGTTGAGAAGCGCTGTCAGTATTTCCGGGATTTCAAGTAGTTTGAATTCAGCGACTTCGCCGTCGTTCGGGGTGGCGCTGAACGCACTGTCGACTTCAAGGTCGTATACGAACTCGACCTCTGGCTGTCTGGCGCCGGTTTGCGGGTTCAAATAGTAGTATGAGATGGCGTCTACAGGTTTCGCCGTCCGCGCGATGTGTTCCGGGATGTTACCCTCCTCCATGCACTCCTTCACGAGCGTCGAAAACACAGTCTCAGGGAACCCAATACCGCCCGCAATGGAGTTGTCCAACATCCCGGGGTACGTCTGCTTTGTATAAGAGCGTCGCGGCACCCAGATGCGCAATGGATTGGTAGTGTACACGTTGATGTGGACGCCAAAAGACACACAGCCGAGCATCCCTGCGGCTGCACGCTCGTACAAACAATATGCTTTGCCGTCTTTACCGAACAAAGTGTACATTTCGTTTCTCCAGCCCTGCAGGTCACTGAACGCTGTAGACTGTTTTGTGCTTTTCCATTTTACTAGGACGTCTCTAAGCGCTTTGGTCCTGTCAACCACAGAGACCAGGTTGCTGCTGAACTTGACGCTTTCGTCCCCCACGGCCTCGAACCCTGGTTCACGCTTCAGCGCATCAGCTACATCCACTAGCGGTCGGCCAATCACAATTGTCCCCGTGTGGTCAAATAGTTCGGGGCCTTTTAGATCCGCATACGGTACCGAGTCGCAGATATCCACTGCGGTGATTAAACCCATTCGCGGCTAGCAGGGTATGAATCGGTTTCTACCTTCTTCCCAAAACACCTGCCACCAGCTATTCACCACCCACCAGCTAATCACATCCACCACCATCTACTGCACACATGAACCCCCTCACAGTAGCCGTAATAGTGGTTTCAGATACCTGCGCGAAAGACCATTCTCAAGACAAAGTCATCGCCACCGTGGAACAGATCCTAGCCAATTCTAGCGACTTCAAACTTACTCATACTGCCTACGTCCCGGACGACAGCCAGGAACTCGTTGACGAAGTCAGATCTCTAGCATACAATGATAAAATAAACCTTATCATCACGTGTGGCGGCACCGGGTTCACGCTTAAGGATAAAACGCCTGAACGCATTGGTCCGTTGATTGAACGCCAGGCTTCAGGCCTTGTGCACGGCATACTAGCTACTTCCTTAGCGATCACACCGTTCGCCATGATGGCCCGACCGGTCGCCGGTACTGTGGCTAAATCGGTTGTTGTTACCTTGCCAGGGTCTCCTAAAGCCGTTACCGAGTGTCTAGATGCTCTTCTGCCTCTCCTTCCTCATGCATGTGAACAAACTGCAGGCGACAACGCTAGAACTTTGCATCGAAAAATGCTGAAAGACAAACAAAATGAATCCTCTCCTGGTACTTCTCACAGTCATTCCCAAAGTCACTCTCATAGTCACTCTCATGGCCACTCTCACCACTCTCACTCTCATGGTACTTCTCATAGTCATTCTCATGGCACTTCTCACAGTCACTCTCATGGCCCATTAGCAAGACATGATCTTATCGATTCTAGCTCCGCTCCTGCCAGACGCAAACGCGAATCTCCCTTCCCAATGCTTCCTATGGAAGACGCACTTAAAATTATCTTTGAAACTACACCCAAGTCTTCCGCGCTCAAACTTAGAATCAGTGATCCAGCAATTATCGGCAAGTATTCGGCAGAATCTATCACTGCTCCAATCCCAGTTCCACCCTACTCGGCTAGCATCGTTGACGGATACGCAGTTGTATCCTCTGACGGACCTGGCTCTTATCCTGTCGTATCTTCTTCGCTGGCAGGATTTGGCTCAGATATGCCCAGTCTGGTCTCCGGAACTATAGCCAGAATCACAACTGGCGCCCCTGTCCCCCCAGGAGCCGATTCAGTCGTTATGGTTGAAGAAACTGTGTGCGAGGAAACCACAGAAGACGGAAATGAAGAGCGCGTTGTGAAAATCCTGGCTAAAGATGTTAAACCGAATGAAAACATCAGATTCCCGGGCTCAGACATCGCTAAAGGTGATACCATACTCGAAGTAGGACAACAAATTGATTCTGCCGCTATTGCGGTGCTTGCTTCTGTTGGCATTGCTGAAATTTTTGTTTATTCCTCACCCTCTGTCGCAGTGTTCTCTACAGGAAACGAGTTATCTGATGTGTTCTCTGAAGGCGATCCTACTACTAGTGTTGCTGGAGTCTACGACGCTAACAGGCCGTACTTACTCAGTGCAGTTCGACGCTGGGGCTGCGAGCCTGTAGATCTTGGAATTATTCCAGATGACTCTGAATCTTTAATTTCCAGAATAAAAGATGCTTTGGAATCTCACGATATCATTATCACAACTGGAGGCGTATCAATGGGTGAAAAGGATCTTCTTAAACCGACATTAGAGAAACTTGGTGCTACTATCCACTTTGGAAGAATTGCAATGAAGCCAGGAAAACCTACTACATATGCTACGCTCTCTCTAAATGGAAAACAGAAACAAATATTTGCACTGCCAGGAAACCCTGCATCTGCCGCGGTCACTTTCCACTTGTTCATCTTACCCGCGTTACGAGTGCGATCAGGGATTATTGCACAGTCATACAAGGCTGCCGGGCTGCCCATAGTGAAAGTGAAGCTGGAATCAGATATCAAGCTTGATTTTAGGCCAGAATACCAGCGTGCTATTGTTCAATACAACTCAAGCAGCAACTGTCTTATGGCACGCACCACTGGCTTCCAACGAAGTTCACGTATAAGCTCAATGGTCGCGTCTAATGCACTGCTTTGTCTCCCTAGCTCTGACTCTGTTGCCAGAGGTACAGTGAAAGCTGGTTCTTTGGTAGACGCAATGCTGACTGATGTTCTATACACGTCTTAGCTGTCTTTAGGTATCTGACTGTCACCAGTTCGCACTGTATTGGCTCATGTATTACAGCCAAAATGTGCATTTAAATATAACAAGACTCGGATTATTTCAGCAAAACTAAAAACCAAACTAGGAACATTTACTAAAAATAAATGCCTCCTGACGGATTCGAACCATCGATCTTCGCATAGGCTTAAATTCGTACGAGTGCGACGCCTTACCACTGGGCCAAGGAGGCAGAATTCTACGTTTAGGGGTGAACGGGTTCTTTTAGGCTTATTATTTTGGGTTAGGGTTTGAATAAAGATATCCGTTTACTGTACTGTCTATATCCTGTGCCATGGGCAGTACAACTCTACGCAGACCACGTATCGGCTGCTAAACTCATTTTTGCTGACTTGTGATTTGGCTGTTTACTTTAGACTAAGTTATGATAGGTAGCCGTCGACGGTACTGGCGAGGCAAGGCGCCAGACGCTGAAGGCAGCGAGTCTGATTCTGATCTGTCAGATCGCAGTCCAAATGAGTCGGATCTAGCTGATGATGACGCCACTAATGCTTCAAATGAAGCTGAAGAACGTTCTAACGAGAATTCGGAACCTGTAGAGCAAAGGAATGCTCCACGAGAATTGCCTTCACGAGAATTGCCTTCGGTGGATCAGGAGCCTGAATTGATAATCGATCAAGACCAGCTAACGCCTGCGCCAACGGAGCAGGGCGTTTCGAGAACAGTTGAAATATCTGATTTAGTAGATCGAGAAGACACTATTATGCTATCGAAGGAAATTGAGCCACGCAGTCAGACCGATGAGACCAAAAGTAGCGATGAATCTGACAGTAGCGAAAGTAGCGATAACGGTTTACTTTCAACAGTGCGTCCTACGTTCATATCTAAAAAACACACAACTAATCTTGCTAAACAGAGTACTACAAAGAAACTGACGTCTCTTGATATGATAGAGTCGTCGAAGAAGAGGATAATGTCGCGGACTGAAGAGTTAAATGCGTTTGAACGCTTACTTGCTGAAGTGGACGACACTGACGGCGTTGATCCTGAAGCAGAACGACTTGCATGGGAGAAACGTGAGCTTGCTAGAGTTGCTCGCGAGCAGGAAGAGGCTAATGAAAGCGCGAGAAAGTCGGATGAAAACGAAAATAAGACTGCGCACGAGTCTAGCGCCAACCAAAGGCCTCGAGGGCGTTCGATCAAGGCCGCGTTTTACCAGGATGACGAGGTGGTGAAGCGTAATGTTTCAGGACTGACGGAGTATGAGATGTTGAGTAGGAATGCTGGACATAAGGCGCTTCGTGTGAGATATGACGTTATTGGCAAGGGCGGGCAGACGAGACATGTAAGCGCGAAAGACGAGGATACGGCGAAAGATTCATTGTGGGAAGATAGAAGCAATATAATTGCGAAACGTACAGCCAATAAGCTTGGAGGATTGACAGACGAAGTACACAAAAAGAAGAAGACGAATTAGAAGATCGAAAAGATCTTGATCCGAGACCGAGAAATGATCTAGTGGAGCTGCCCTTTTTTTGGGACTTCGACAACCACATTTATTTAATGATATTCAGCCGCTATACATGCACTAAACGGTTTACTTTAACATATTCAATACGTAATTTTGCTTCTAAACATAGTCCTACCATATATGCGTTGTCTACAGCCGCGGGAAAGAGCGCTATAGCTGTTATACGGGTATCTGGAAGCGGATCAAAGTTCGTACTCGAAAGCCTAGGAGCGACTAAATGGGACGCACGCAAGGCAATTCTACATTCATTCAGAGCACAAGACGGATCAGTAATAGACCGCGGACTATACACGTACTTTCCAGGCCCACGGTCGTACACGGGAGAAGACATGGTGGAAATACACGTGCATGGAGGAACAGCGGTAGTGCGGGCCATGTTGGCGTCAATACAGGCACTATCACAGAACGGCGAAATTCGATATGCCGAGGCTGGTGAGTTCACAAGACGCGCTTTCGATAATGGTAAGCTCGATTTGACACAGGTTGAAGGAATTGGAGAGATCATCGATGCAGAGACAGAACTACAGCGGAAAGCCGCAGTCGGGCCTTCAGGCGGTCACATGCATCAACTGTACAGACAATGGCAGGAATCTTTGCTGAAACAGATGGGTATGCTTACCGCCTTAATAGATTTTACAGATGAAGACATAGATTCAAGTGACAAGCTCTTCAGCGGCGTCTACAAATCGGTGCACAATATCCGTGACCAGGTAGCTGGCCAGATCAAGGGAATCGATCAATTCGAAATGCTTAGAAACGGTGCTAGCGTCACGCTTATAGGCGAGCCGAATGCCGGCAAGTCTACTTTGCTGAATGCCCTTGTAGGAAGAGACGCAGCAATAGTCAGCGAAGTCGCTGGAACAACCAGAGATGTCATGGAACTTACTGTGGACTTGCGCGGTCACAAAATCACGCTTAGCGATACAGCAGGTATTAGAGAAGATTCACTGGATAAAATAGAGAACGAAGGAATAAGGCGCGCAAAAGATAAAATCAGCTCAACAGACTTGTTGCTACTGGTACTGCCTTTAACCGAGCCTGCAGTATCCAGAGACGTCGTAAAGACAATCTCACGATACGGCGCTGGAACTCCGCTGATAATTGTAGGCACAAAGCCTGATTTGGTTGAAAACCCACAGCATAAGTTCAATCTTATGCTGAGAGACATTGATTTGAACTACGACACTGCATTGACAGTGAACGGATGTAAAAAGGATGGCGTGTCCAATCTGTTTGACCTCATATCTGTACAGGTAAACAATATGTTCGACTTTAAGGGCATAGAACCGATCGGCGCTTCACATAGAGTCAAAGAGATCCTAAAACAAGAAGTACTTCCGGGTCTTGACCGTGCATTGACCATATACAAAGACGCAGGAAACCCAGATCGTATCACCTTCTTCACTGAGGAGTTGAGGTATGCTGCAGATTCGTTTGGCAAGATTATGGGCAAGGGTCTTGACGTCGAAGAGATCTTGGATGTAGTTTTTAGCTCTTTCTGTATAGGCAAGTGAGAGTTTTAAGAGGCCAATCGTACGACGTTGTCGGAAGTCCAGCCTTTCTTGCCCAAGTATCCTTTAATTGGAGTATCTTGGTTGCCGGTGGTTGCGATATTTACATATTGTCTTGCGCCAGACACTGCACGAACATAGCTTTCGGGGCCACAAACAAATGCAATGTCGACGGGTGTCTCTTTTTTCATCCCGCGGAACCCAGTGACGGCACTTTTCAACTTGTCGAGAGCTCCTCGGTGCTGTTCAGGCAAGGACTTGGCCGAAGCCGGAGGGATAATGTCTTTTTCGGTAATTCTCCGGTCGTAGAACTGCGACATGGATATTCTTCCTGCGGATTTCAAGAAGAACAGAAACCTGTTCAGCGGTACAACGTCTGGCGAAGACGCAGAATGGAAAAGCTGTACAAACCCTCGTGGAGGGTTAGGCGACAGCAGCATTTGCAAGGCGGGAGTGATGCCGGTTCCTGCTGACAAGAAGAGTATATTTTTGTGCGGATCTGCAGACTGAGGTGTCTGCGGGTCCGGTGGTAGTGTGGAAGGCGTATCAGATATTTGGGGCCTTCTGGATGAGAGATCTGATTGTTGTAAGTCCTGGAACTCGTACTCGGTGTGAGGCCCGCGGATATCAATTTTAGTGCCAGGCGGCAGCGAGCAGAGCCAGCGAGACACTTCGCCGTCGTTGTACCGTTTGACAACAAGAAGCATGCGGCCTTCTTCGGAAGAGGATTTATGTGGGTTCTCTGACAGTATGTGAAGGACTGGCGGTTTGCCTGAGTCATTCTGGTAGTTTGATTTTAGTACCATTAGAGGCAAAGGGGTGTATCTGCGAGCTATTTGCATGTCAGGCTGTCTAATTTCTATAGACCAAAGCCTGTGGCCATTCCACGGATAGTACTTTGACTGCTGCATCTTCCGCCAAAGATGCATTGTAGGCGAGAGTTCTATGAGGAAGTGGTCAGGAGCGTACTCGTACTTGTACGTTATGACATAAGGAGAGAACTTTTCGGCGGAAGGCAGGGCGGCATTGTCAGAAGGAGAAGGGTAGAGTAAGTGTTTAGCAGAATAGACGATCCATATGGTGAGACCTGCACCGATCAAGATGGGTATTTGTTTCTTGAATGCGGAGGACCGTGGGGGCGGTAGTCTGATTTCCGGGCCAGTATTTGGATTTGGTATTTCGTACCTCAGCGATTGACGGTTTCTAAGGTATTTTGAGGTAGAGTACCAGCGCGAACGTGGTGTAAACGACCGAAAAGACCGAAACATGGTGTGGTAGAAGAAAGGTTTTTTGGGATGGCGAAGAATGTAAACTTCGACAACACAATGGCGTAAGTATTCAATAATTGTTTATTTTTTAAAATAACTAAACTAACCGAAATGAAATAGGGATTTAGTGAAATTGCCGAGAAGCGAGCTAAGTGAGGCGGAGATTCTGAAATTGGAGGAGTACGAGTTCGAAAACGGACCTTTATCGGTTCTACACACAGCTGTTCAAAATAATTCACAAGTGCTGGTTCTATGTCGAAATGATCATAAATTGTTAGGGAGACTAAAAGCCTTTGATCGACATTCGAATATGGTCCTGGAAGACGTCAAAGAATTGTGGGTAGAAGTTCCTAAGAATTCTGCTGGTAAGAAGGGCAAACCGATCAATCGAGATAGATTCATTAGCAAGATGTTCGTAAGAGGAGATGGAGTGATTTTGGTCAGGCGTGCAGCTTAATTCTGTGATGTTTCTGTCGCATTTTCTAGAACATTTTTTCAACTAGCTGTCGGTCTGTCGGTCTGTCGGTCTGTCGGATCCATTGTTGTTCCCCCTGCTACATTCTACACATCTACTGCAATAACAGACTCGGACTTGTATAGTTACAACAAATCGCATATATAGCTAGAGCTTCACTAAACGCTTAGCTTAACTAAACTTTTAGCTTCACAATACGCTTTCCAGTGTTTGTTCCCTTGAAAAGCCCGGCAAGCGCCCGGGGTAGCTCCTCCACTTTACCGTCAATAATGTCTACACGGCTAATGATCTTGCCCTCTTTGAGCCAAGTAGACAAATCAGAAACGGCTTTAGGAAAATCTGCCTGGTGTTCCAGAATAATAAACCCTTCGATCTTAAGGCTGAACTTGACGATGTTCATGTAATTGTACAGCGGCTCGACCTTGCCATTGTAACCAGAAATGCTGC